GACCCCCAAAATGCCCCCAGGAGCCCCCAGACCCACCAGGTAGTTGCGGATGCGGTTCCAGAGCACGTTGAACTCCACCAGCCCCAGCTTCCCGTTCCCGTCTTTCTGGGGCAGGGGATCAAGGAAAGGGGGGTTCAGGAAAAGGGGGGTTCAGGAAAGGGGGGTCCCAGGGGTCTCCCCAGAGCCCCCCCAGCCCCAGGGGTCCCCCCAGAGCCCCCCCAGGCTCAGGATACGTCCATGAGGTTCACCATGCTCCGGCAGGACTCCAGGCTGAAGCCCTTGGTGCGCAGGTCTTTGTCTGCAATCGGGAGTTTGGGGGTTAATGAGATGTTAATGAGGGGGGCGGGGTTAATCCCCCAGTCCTGGCTCACGTTTGGCGATGATGCGGTTGAGGATGGTCTGCAGCTCGGTGACGCTGATCTCCAGGTCCTGGGGAGGGGTCACCAACGAGCAGTGATGTCATCGGAAACCAGTGACGTCACGGCAAACAAGTGATGTCATGGCCAACCAATGAGGTAATGGGCAAACAGTGATGTAATTGACAAACAATGACATCACTGCTAATCAGTAACATCACAGCAGAGTAATGACATCATTACCAACGATGATGTTATTGCAAACCAATGATGTAATGGCCAACCAATGATGTCATGGCCAATGACATCACAACCAATGACATCACTGTTAACCAATAACACCACGGCTAACTGATGACATCATCACCAAGTGATTTCATTGCCGACCAGTGATGTTATTACAACCAATGACATCACGGCCAATCAATGACGTACCAATTACATCACTGCCAACACATAACATCACAGCCAACCAATGACATCATCACCAACAATTACATCATTACTAACCAATGACAGCACAGTCAACCAATGATATCATGGCTAACCAATGTTATGTTATTTGCAATCAATGATGTCACAGCCAACCAATGACACCATACCCAACAAATATCATTGCTAACCAATGACATTGTGGCCAATCAATGACATCATCATCACCCAATGACATCACCACCAACCCCTGAGCTCACAGCCAATCACCAGCGCTCCCTTACCGGCCCCGCCAGCTGCTTGAAGAGCTGCTTGAAGTTCTCATCGATCTCGCTCTCCCTCAGCACTTTCTGGGGG